ATCAATCATCATCATCATCATCATCATCACATCATATCATCATCATCATCATCAATCATCATCATTCATCATCATCATCCATCATCATCGTCATCATCATCGTCCGTCCGTCATCTCCCCATCCTCGTCATCAACGTCATCATCGTCCTCACTCGTCTTCGTCATCATAGTCCTCCTCCTCCCCTCATCACTCTCTTCTCCCCCTCTTCCCTCTCTCCCTCCCTCATCCCCCTCCCCCCCTCTCCCTCCTTTCTTCCTCCCCCTCATCAATCCTCCCCTCTCCTCTCCCTCCCTTCTCCTCCCCCCTCTTCCTCCTTCTCCCTCCTCCTTCTTCCTCCTTTCCCCCTCTCCCCCTCTTCCTTCCTCCTCCCCTCTCCCCCTCTTCCTCTTTCTCCCTCACCCCGCCCCCCCCCCTTTCTTCCCTCTCCCCCTCTTCCTTTCTTCTTCCCCTCTTTCCCTTCTTCCTCCTCTCCCCCTCTCCTCCTCCTCCCCTCTCTCCCCCTTCTCCCTCTCCCCCTTTCCTTCTTTCTCCTCTTCCTCCCCTCTTCCTCCTCTCCCCTCTCCCCCTCTTCTCCTCTTGCTCCTTCTCCCCTCTCCCCTCTTCCCCCTCCTCTCCCCTCTTCCTCTCTCTCCCCTCCTCCCCTTCTTCCTCCTTCTTCCTCCCCATTCTCCTCCTTCTCCCTCTCCCTTCTTCCTCCTCCCCCTCTCCCCCCTCTTCCTCCTTCTCCCCTCTCCCCTCTTCCTCCTTCTTCCCTCTTCCTCCTTCTCCTCTCCCCCTCTCTCCTCTTCCTCCTTCTACCCCCCCTCCTCTTCCTCCTGTTTCCCTCTCCTTCCCTCTTCCTCCTCCCCTCCTCTCCCTCTTCCTCCTTCTTCCCCTCCTCCCCTCTTCCTCCTTGTCCCATCTCCCCCTCTTCCTCCTCCCTCTCCCCCTCTTCCTCCTTCTCCCCCTCTTCCTCCTTCTCCCCTCCTCCACTGTCTTACCCTTTCTTTGCGTCTTGTTTGATTAGAATGGAAGTTTTCCCTGTGCGTTGGAGTGTGAGTCAGATTAACCAAGAATGTGTTGGGGCTGGATTTTTGAGGGCGAGTTTCGCGCAAGCTGAGTTCGGGAGGAGGAGGAGGAGGACGACGACGACGACGATGATGGTGGTGGTGATGATGGTGGGGTGGTGGTGGTGGTGGTGGTGATGATGGTGATGTGGTGGTGGTGGTGGTGGTGAGTGGTTGGGTGGTGGTGGTGGTGGTGATGTGTAGTGGTGGTGATGATGATGATTGATTGATGATTGATGATGATGATTGATGATTATGAATGATTGATGTTGAATGAGAAGAGGAAGAGGAGGGAGGGGAAGAAGGAAGACGAAGGCGACGGCGATGACGACGAAGACGACGACGGCGATGACGAAGACGAAAACGGAGTAGTAGTAGGAGGGAATTGGTAGAGAAGAGCACTGGAGGAGAGAGATTAAAGTGGAAGAATGTTATGAATAGCGAAAAGAAAGGGGGGGAGACAAAGATGGCAAAAGAAGAGAGGGAGGAGGGATAGATAGATTGATAGATAGGTGCATAGATTGATAACAACACACACACACACACAACACACAACACACAACACATCACACACACACCACACACACCACCACCACACACACACACCACACACACACACCACACACACACACCTACACACACACTGAGAAGAGATAGAGAGAGAGAGAGAGGAGAGAGGAGAGGAGAGAGAAGAGAGAGAGAGAGAGAGAGGGAGAGAGAGAGAGAGAGAGAGACTGCAGAGAGAGAGAGAGAAGTGAGTGAGGTGAGTGAGTGACGTGAGTGAGTGAAGTGAGTGACGTGAGTGAGTGAGTGAGTGAGTGAGTGAGTGAGTGAGTGAGTGAGTGAGTGAGTGAGTGAGTGAGTGAGTGAGTGATTGAGTGAGGTGAGTGAGGGAGTGAGTGAGTGAGAGTGAGGGAGTGAGGGAGTGTGTCTGAGTCAGAGAGTGAGTGAGTGAAGGCATACCCGCGCCATAGATCGCGCCCGCGCCTCCGCACAGTGGTGGGCGTGCGGCGTCAGCATGTTCTCATCACTACATAACGGGGGTCATCATGGCAATCGCGTGCCAGGTATTACATGACCTTGCATGTTGCCTTTTTTTCTAACTTGTGGTCATTAATCTTGCTTTTTTGTTGCGATGGTTTATTATCGGTGTTGCCGGTGGCGGTTGATGTTATTGTTGTTTGTTGGTGTTTAGCGGTGGTGGTCATCGTTATTGCTGTTGGTTGCGTCTCTTTTGTTATTGTTGTTGTAGAGTTTGCTGTTCACGTTGCAGCCGTTATTATTAATTTTATTTTTAAGGATGAAGCGCAAGGAGACGGTTAGCACTCTATTTGTATAGATAATTGTAATAGACTAAATTATAGTAGTGATGTTGATGGTAAATTGTAATGATAATAGAGACTAACATATGATGATGATAATGATGATGGTAAGGATAATGACAGTGACAAAGATAAGTGAATAATAACGATGGTAATGATGATGATAGGCATGATATCATCGTCATTAGTGCTAACGATGATTATTTGTAAAGAGTAGAAGACATGTGATGGTCGTAATGACATTTTGATTGATTCATTTTTTTAAATATTTATAAAGAATAGTAAAGTGTGAACTGAAGGGACATTTTTTTTTGTAGAAAGAGGGAAGGGGGGGGGGGGGCTGGGGAGCGGAAGGGCAAGGAAATCGAGCATTAGGGTCTCCCTTTAAAAAATAAACTCGATATCCTTTGAATTTATTGATACAAATGCTTAGTTTGGTATTTGCTATCTTCTTCTATCGGTTAACTTCTTCTTCTCTTCTTCTTTCTTTTTTTTCTTCTTCTTCTTCTTCTTCTTCTTCTTCTTCTTTCTTCTTCTTCTTCTTCTTCTTCTTCTTCTTCTTCTTCTTCTTCTTCTTCTTCTTCTTCTTCTTCTTCTCTTTCTTACTTCTTCTTTCTTTCTTCTTCTTCTTCTTCTTCTCGTCGTCGTCGTTATTTTTTTATATCCGTAAATTAAGAGACATTTGCCACGTTTATTTAGATTTATCAATCGATCTTCCGGTAAATCCGATGGAGCTTTTATCGCCTCGCTATCTCGAGTCCTTTCTTGGAGGTCTTATCGCTGACTTCGGAGAGGAGTGCGCGAGACGGCGAGGCTGGTTGTGGATTGTCCTCTGTTCGATTCGCCTGTCTGTTATTTTTCTTAGGTCTGTGTCTGTCTGTCTCTGTCGTGTCTATCTGTCTGGTCTTGTCTGTTTCTGTCTCTCTCTCTCTCTCTCTCTCTCTCTCTCTCTCTTCTCTCTCCTCTCCTCTCTCTCTCTCTCCTCTCTCTCTTCTCTCCTCTCTCTTCCTTCTCTCCTCTCTCTCTCTCTCTTCTCTCCTTCTCCGCTAAACTCCTCACTCACTCACTATCAACTTCCCTAACCCTCCCTTCCAGTATGAGTTCTCTTTATTTTAGTCACCACTATCACTTCATTTACGCAACTCGGTGATCATTCACTGAATCCCATTCAGATGGGCACTCAGTCACACGTCTTCCTTGTTTTCTTATTCTTATTGACACACATATTCACTCAAATTCTCATTCACGGAGTCAAAATGATTGCATTCACTCACCAACTCGACCATTCACCCACTTACTCATCAGAGAAGTGTTTATTCACTTGCCAGTCATTCATTTATCCTTTCTCGCCGACTCTTTCAGCCAGGTAGATATGTAGGCACACGCACACTCACGCACGCATAGAGGCAAACGCATGAACACACACGCACGCACGCACACGCATGCATACATACACGCACAGGCGCAACGCACATGCACACACGTACACGCCCCCATAACACAAAACAAACAGGATGGATATATCAGGTGGAACATGAGCAAGGAAGCATGCGTGGGGGGAGGGTTGTTGGGGGGGGGGGGAGAAGGTTATTTCAGTCGTAAGCGTTTGGTAATGAATAGGTTGCTGATTAACGACGCTGATCATTTTGAACCATGCGGTATGCGTTCGTGCAGTGGAATTCGGCCGCGTGCGGGTCCCCGGCGCTTCCTCTGGGTTCTGGCTCTTGCTTTTTATGATTTTTTTCTTTGTTATTGTTCGTTGCCCGCTTCTCTTGTGCTTCTCTCTCTCCTTCTCCTCAAGCCCTCTCTCTCTCTTTCACTCACTCTCAACTCGTCACTCTCACTCTCTCTGCTCTCACTCTCACTCTCACTCTCAACTCTCACTCTCACCTCACTCTCTCTCTCTCTCCTCTCTCCTTCCTCCTCCCTCCCTCCCTCCCTCCCTCCCTCCCTCCCTCAATTCTCTGCCTATCCCTCTCCATTTTCTATATCCGTCTCCTGCCTCTCTTCTCCTTCCCTCCTCACCTCCTCCCTCCTTTTCTATACCCGATTTCTTTCTTTTCCCAATTCCCCCCTCCCCCTTCCCTCCCGCCCCGCCTAACCCCCTTCGGAAGCCATCCCTTTTATAGCGAATCCCAGGCGAACCATTTCCATCAAATCATCAGTTATGAAAGCGTTATAATCTCTCTCCCTCTCTCTCATCACCTCTCTCCCTCTCTCTCTTCCTCTCTTCTCTGCTCCTCTTCCGCCTCTCTGACTCTCTGCCTCTCTGTCTCTCTGTCTCTCTGTCTCTCTTGTCTCTCTGCTCTCTGTCTCTTCTCTCTGTCTCTCTGTCTCTCTGTCCTCTGATTCTCTGTCTTCTCTTCTTCTCTCCTCTCCTCTCTCTCTCTCTCTCTCTCTCTCTCCTCTTCTCTTCTCTCTCTCTCTCCTCTCGTCTCCTCTCTCTCTCTCTCTCTCTCTCGTCTCTCCTCTCGTTCCTCTCTGTCTCTGTCTCTGCTCCCCTCTCTCCG